TCCACTCTCTTACAACCCAAAATATTTCAACTAAACTTGCATACTCATTGACATCTATGTTAACATATGTACTGAGTATTAATGTATTGCCTATAGAATAAATATCAGTTAACTCCCAGATTGAATGAAAAAAACAGCAAAATTTTCCTATTTGGTATTATTATTTTCAAGGATTTTTGTTTATGTTAGTTAGTAGTATATTAAAACTATGTTCATATTTTATCCATTTAAAATATTTATTATTTTTATTTTATGTATATGAGTGTATTGCCTGCATGTATGTAAGTGTACCCATGTCATGCAATGCCCATGGAAATCAGAAGAAGGTGTTGGATTCCCTGGAACTGGAGTTACAGACAGCTGTTAGTTGCCATATGCGTGCTGGGATTCGAACCCAGATCTTCTGCAAGAGCAGCCAATGTTCTTAACTGCTGAACCATCTTCTCCAAGTCCACATTTTATCCATTTTAGGGCAACAATTTTACAGGTTATACAAAGAACTTAGTCCATTAAGTACAGTGCCTGTTTTAAGGTAAAATCTATTGAGTTAAAAGTCACATATTTGTTACCTGAGTTTCTACAGTGAGCAGTACTATTTTATCTTTGCCCCTCACATGTACTACACATAAATATATTTACCAAAAAATGATCCACTTGTCCTACTGGCCTTCCTCAAACAGTACAAAATTACTGCCAAGTATCCTAGTGTGTCACAGTTTTACTTATTTAATCACGAACCTCCACCCTAGTTATACATCCTAAAAATCTTTTTTGTTTCTTTTTTTGAGACAGGGTCTTGCAGCTGACCTAGAATTCACTTTGTAGACCAGGCTGGCCTCAATATCACAGAGATTCTCCTGCCTCTGCCTCCCAAGTGCTGGGAATAAAGGTGTACACTATCATGCCTGGTCTTAAAAATATTATTTTAATAATGGCCTTATGTACATATGTAAGTCCACTATAATTCAAATTAGTCAAATATAAATGTGATTACTGTTCATACCCAATGGATTTGTTTATCTAAGCTCACTAGGAGGTTTATAACATGTATTCAAGAGCAGAAAAAGTCTGAAAAATGTGTATTCACTTTTACTGATGACTCTTACTGGCACCATGGAGAAAAGTCAACACAGGCAAAATCTGTTAACATGCAGATTGCTTTTGGCTACTGATCATCAAAAATATGTTATACACATCATGCATTTTATTTATAGTTATATTGAACTATTCATCTCAATATGTTAGTAAAAATGTTTGTATACATCCTATTTTTATACTGCATTAAATATAATGAGGAAAATAATTTCTGGAAACCAAATTCAAAACATTTTTTGAGATTAAAAATTTACAGAGAGAATGCTCTAAAGCAGTATGTTTCAAGGAACACTGAATACCTTCATACCTAGGAGAGTGAACGCTTTCTAGGTAGTTTTTCTTTGCTTATATACTGCCTTTTGATTTCTTTTGGTTCTACATATTCCAGAGAAATATATGCCTCATTCTTTTCCATTTCCTTTTACTTAGCATACTTTAGATATGTTGAAAGTTCCCCTCCATAAATTGCTTTTAATAAATTGTCAACATTTTGTTACCTTGAATTTATTCATTATAAAAACTTTGGTAGTGAAAGTACAAAAGAATCATTGAATGTTGCCTTATCTTTTCAAAGCACAGCATAATGGTATTTTGATCTCTATACAAAGTAATAATTTAAAAATACTAATTCTAGGGCTGGGCATGGTGGCGCATGCCTTTAATCCCAGCACTTGGGAGGCAGAGGCAGGTAGATCTCTGTGAGTTCAAGGCCAGCCTGGTCTACATAGTGTGTTCCAGGACAGGTGGGTCTACAGGGAAACCCTGTCGCAAAAAGACAAACAAAACAAAACAAAAACAAAAACAAAAAATCCAACAAAAAACTAATTCTAGAATCAAATAGTATAAGCTATGCTTTACAAAACAAAGGAATTGAGTTATATTTACAATATGCAAATCTGTAGTTATGATAGAAAGAAGCTAACATATGTAAAATTTGACATGAAATTATATATATGGATATAGATATATATAATATCGAAAGGCAGCTAACATCAAGAGTGATAAAAGTGTGAACTGGGTTTCTCTCTTCACAAACTATAGAAAATCACCTGCTTAGGGTGAGACCACCTGGTTGTGGGGTAACACATACATACACACAAAAGCACTAGCTGAACTTAGGTCTCCTTTATTAAGTTTATTTTTTGCAGTGCTGGGATCAAAACCAGGACCTTGTGCATTTCAGGCATGTACTATACCAATGATCGATAGCCCAGTTTCAGAGTATTTTACTGGTAAAACATTTAATCTGAAACATGTTGAACAAAATCGTAATAACTGAGTTTGCTAATGGCACTTTGTCTAACAGGAAGAGCTTGATCATTTTCTCTCTTCAAAAAGCTTTATAAAACAGGTATATGGCAGCTAAAAGAAACACTCTCTAAATACCATATTATTCAGGTATCAGTTAAATTAAACTTTGTAGATGGTATGAATGTTCCAAGGGTTCCAATAAACTTTCACAGAATTGACATGGAAATGTGTATTTGAAAAGTATACAAAAATGAAATGAATGATCAGAAGAACATATGGAAATGTAATGGGTAAATACATGCTGCCAACATTTACTATAAATGACGTAAGTGGAAAATCACCAGACAATAATATTTACAGAGATACACAAAATTGTGCACATTCCAGGTGAAATATGTAAATAAGCTATTAATAAAAGCATATACTAACCAGCCACAATGACACTGTCATTACGTGCTGGACCAAATTTCAGTGTCATCTCATGTTTATGTTTATGGACAGCCAAATGATCCTCGTTGGTAAAACGCTGTGGCAAAAAGTTTTAAAATATAGTTAAGATTTTCAATTTGATCAAATAAGTAAGCTGATAAGGATACTAATTTCCACAACATGTAAAACAACCAGTAACAGTGAAATAGCAGTTTGTAAATTATAAAAGAGTCTAATGTTAGCATACAAAGGCATATTAGAGTTATAATAATCACAGAGAAACCCATCACTCAAGAATAAGAAATAAGAGTAACACTACTAAATCACATAGCTCATTTGAGATTTACAAGTAAAACAAGACAGAAAAAAAAGGACCACTATTCACCTTTTATTATATCAGAGTAGAAATATGTACTACATGGTACAATGTCTTTTGAAGAAAACACTGTATTTACCTAGATTTAAGGTTACTTACCACTTAAAAAAATACTTATTTTTATTTTATGTGAATGAGTGTTATGCCTGCAGTAATGTAAGTGCATCCATGTTGTGCAGAGCCCTTGGACATAAAATGGATTTTGATCTCCTGGAACTGGTGTTACGGACAGTTGTTAGCCCCCATGTGGGTGTGGGATTCAAACCTGGGTCTTCTGCAAGAGCAGTCAGTGCTCTTAATCACTGAGTCATCTCTCCGGCCTCATACTTACCATTTTTTAACTGATATTATGACTCCTGGGCAAATTAATCAACAAATAAAGCTTTATGCTACCATGTTAAAGAAATAATCCAGCAAAGAAACAGTAACTAATACAATAAATCAGTTTAGGGTAAAATATTTTTTACTTTAGTTAATGATCCTTCAAAAAAAAAAAAAACAAAACATAGTTCTTATATTAAAACAAATTAAAATTATTTGAAAAGCTATCTATCACATTCTTTCCTCTCCTTACATGGGTAAATACTACATGTCAAAGGTGACATATCTGATTACAACCCAGCACATGCACTTTTAAATGTCTATTGTGGTTGGAAATCAACCTTTGTGATGATGCTGCTCCTTCTCAAGCACCATTTGTAACTAGAAACAGGGAGCACTTAATTCTTATTATTTCAGATCAATAGTTTATTTTGACCACTTCTAGTTCAGAAGCTAAATTAACTTCTCACTCTTTCCTATAGCTTTATAAATAGGGATATTAAAATTACATATTCTTAAACTTTGTGTGCCCAAGTCATCAAAATGGACTCGTCTTGTGATCTCTTCCCATCTGATTCACCACATCCTTTTATACAGCTAGTAATAGTACCTTTAAGCTAACTTTAAAAAGCAAATGCATGAAATATTTTCCCATTAATCTTAGCAGTATAATTGTTTAAAAGTATAACACTGAATATTAACATCTTTAAGTTCAGTACACTAGCCCCAGCTTCAGGGTTTTTGTCTTTTAATTATTTAATTTTAATTTTGGCTGCATGTATGTAAGTGAGCCCATGTGTGCAATGCCCACAGTGGCTACAAGAGGGCATTAGATACCCCTGGAACTGGAGTTATGGAGGGCTGTTAGCCATCATGTGGGTGTTGGAAACAAAACTCAGGTCCTCTGCAAGAGCAGCCAATGCTCTTAACTACTGAGCCATCTCTTTAGCTGCTGTTTGTTTTTTAAAATAGGGCCTCACATGTAGTCCTCTTTGGCCTGGCACTTGCTACATAAACCAGGCTAGTCCTGAACTGCTGATATCCTCCTGCCTCTGCCTCCTAGATGCTAGGATTAAAGGCATGTGCAAACATGTTCTGACCAAAGTTTTAAAGATTTATTTCTTTTTATGTGTCCGTGTATGTATGCTGGTCAAGACTAGAAGAGGGTGTTAGATCCCCTGGAATTGGGTTATAGTTGGTTGTGAGCTCCCTGATGTGGATGCTGGGAACCAAACTAGGATCTCTGAAAGAACAGCAAGTATTCTTCGGAGCCTTCTTTTCAGGCCTCCAGCTTTAAGTTAAAAGTCCCATTGTGCTCTGCACACTTTTCACTATTGGGCCTATCACAATAATAACTGTTATCTTCATGTCTATCCTTTTAAGTAATCTGAGTTCCTTCTATGGCCTATAAGTTTGGCATACATTAAGAATCCCACAAATGCCAATCAAAAAAAAAAAAATGAATGCCTTAAAATAGATGAATCTTAAAATCAGTAAAAGGTAGAAAACAAAAACAAAACCCCACTCAAATCCACATTAAAAAGAATTAAGCTTTAATTTATGTTTATACACCAAGAGAAAATTAACTATAACCTTATGATGCTTTCTGAGAACCTGACTATATCCCAGTGTATGGAAGTGTTCAGATACAACATTATTTCCATTCCTTCCCTTATTCATTCACCTATGGGCACTGGAACCATAATCCAGCTTTTGCCCATTCAGACCGTCTTCCTATTACTTAATCATTTTAACAATCTTTCCAAAATTTAGGGGAAATAAGTAGTGGTGCTTTTCACAAGAATACTGAAAAATAATGCTCTCAAGACAATGATCATATCTATAGATCTTGTTGACACTGTTTTATTGTGTTTTAGCCTTACATTAAAAAATGTTAATTTGGGGGCTGAAGAGATGGCTCAGCAGTTAAGAGTACTGGCTACTCTTGCAGAGGACCCAGGTTTGGTCCACATGGCATCTAACGATCATCCAGAACTCCAGTTCCATGAAATCTGATGCCCTTTTCTGATCCCCGTGGGCACTGGAGGACATGGGTGAACTTACACACATGCAGGCAATACACTCCTACACAGAAAATAATAAATAGCAAATTAAATTTTTAATTTTTGGGTTTTTTTTTGTTGTTGCTTTGTTCACTTGTTTTTGTTTTATTAAATATTTTGTTATCTTTATTTTATGTGTATGTGTGTACTGCCTGCATGTATGTAAGTTGCACCCGTGTCATGCAATGCCCAGGGAGGATAGAAGAGGCTGTCAGATCCCCTGAAACTGGAGTTACAGACAGTTGTTAGCTGCCATGTGTGTGCTGGGATTAGAACTTGGGTCATCTGCAAGAACAACCAGTGTTCTTAACCACTGAGCCATCTCTCCAGCCCGCAAATAATTAAAAAAAAAAAAAAGTTCATGTTATGTTTTACAACACACGCTAAAAGTAACTTCAAGTAAGATCCATTTTATGTTCCACAGAACCTCACAATGTGTTTTTTCCATTGAAGGCAATCATTAAAACATCTGTGAATAAACTCATTTTGTTATAGGTACCACATTTTAAAACTTTACAACTATCTAAATTAAGAGGTAAGACCCTGGAAAAGTTTCTCCTAGAATTTATTTTACCAGTGCCTTCTGCTTAGATTAGTTTGATTACAAATATTCAATTTGAGCTGGGAGTATAGTTTAGTGGTAAAGTACTCAGTATGTACAAGGCCTTAGGTTTGAACCTCAGCAACAATAAAAACCAAACTTTCCATAAAATAAATTATACTGTCTTCTGTACAACATGAAAATGACACCTAACTGTATCTTAAGTGAAAAAGAGTGACTAAAACTTGAACTATTTAGGATCACGCAATTATTAAAACAATATGCAAGGAATATGTATTTATAAACTCTAATACAGGATCAAATTGATGGTTATTTATAAAGAGACTGTTGATATTATTTATGCAATACTTTTCAATGTGAAGGACAAAATACACTTAAATTGGTATCTGAAACAGATGAATTTAAACTTGGAAATCATCTGAGAAAATTTCTTTGCCCATGTCAAGAAACTTAGAAAAATCAGAACAAAAAATCAACCTGGTTACAATGAAAAAAAAAATAAAACAAAACTGTATACACATATATAAAGGATTTTTTCCAGCAAATAATTACAAAGTAATTATTACATGCTGTAATAGTTACTTTATAAGTACTTGTTGAAAAAACATACATATCTTTCATGTGTGTAATTTTTTTCATTTTAACCAGATTGATAGTCCTTTCTGCTTTCCTAAGTTTCTTGATAAATGCAAATAAATGCCACAGAGCCTGTGTGAAGGACCGAGGACAACTCTGTAGAGTTGGTTCTCTCTTTCACCTTTACACTGTTTCCAGGGATCAAACTCAGGTTGTCAGGCATGTGTGACAAGTGCCTTTACCTGTTAAGCCATGTCTTATCAAAATCAACTTCCTAAGAATCAGTGATTCTGTGGTTTAACAATCATATTCATGATTTTTAAAAATGTTATTACTATTTAACATATTAAATAGGCAAAACTAAGTGTATAAGTCACCAGGCTAAGAGTTCATTTTACTATGTTAGATGCAGAATTCTACTGAATAGGAGGAAGTTACTCATCAATACACACGCAACTCCAGTGAGATTTTAGGCTAAGTATATAATGAATCTACATCTGCTTCGTAAATCAGCTTATGATGTACAAGTACTTTTGTACTTTGCAAAAGGAAAAAACTTCAATGAATGTGACTCCAAAGGCAAAGATATTACCAATAAAATAGAGTACGGAAATGAAACTTTGTAGAGTATCTAACTTTGTTTCTTTTATTCAATTCAACAGTACTTCCCTTTAATACAAATGAAATTAATAGGAGTCTGTGGAACACCTAAATTACTTAAGTCATATTAAAAAAAGATTATCGTTAAGAATCTTCAGGCAAATTCTTCATTCTAATTTCTATAGGTCATGCTCAAGTGATATTAGCAACAAAATAATTTTTTTTTTTTGGTCTTTTTGAGAATGTCTCCCTGCAGCTAGAGCTGCCCTTGAACTCACAGAGATCCTCCTGCCTCTGCCTCCCAAATGCTAGGATTAAAGGCGTGCGCTACCACGCCTGGCTAACAAAAAATAATTTTAAATGTAAAATATATTTGAAAATTTAAGTTGTGCATTAAGCTGTGCAATATTAAGTATACTAGAGAAAAAAATTTAGTTTGGATAATGTCATATTTACTGGTAGGAAAAAATAAGCTGCACTATTATCAGCAAATTTATGTTTCTAAATTCAGTTATTATAAAACCTTCAACTTCCCAGGAAACAATACTACTTAATATAAAGAGAGAGACTACATTATTCCTGCTTTCTGCAAATTAATAAGTGAATGTTGATATTTGCCAGATCATGTTTTGATCAGTAACCCATTACACGTGATACTAAATAACATAGAGATTAAGCATCTCGCAGAACAAACATTGGCCACAAATCCATAATACCGAAGACTAGAGTGTTTATATCAAACATAGTTCAGTATTAGACCGTACTAAAGTATTAGCAAAAGCAAAAAACCTAAGCCAGTCTTCCTCTTTTTTAAATGTGTGTGTGCACATGCATGCCATAGTGCACACACATGTGGAAGCCAAAGGAGAACTTATAGGAGTCAGTTCCTTCCTTCTACCATGTGGTTCTAGGGACTGAATTCAGTTCATCAGTCTTGGCAGCAAGTGCCTTTAACCATTGAACCACCTCACCAGTTCAAGTTAGCTTTTTAAAACTTAAACCTTTGCCCACAATTTATTTATTTATTTATTTATTTAGGCTGAGAAATCAACCCAAGGACTTGTGTATTCTAGGCACGTGCTCTACTACTGAGCTATATCTCAGCCTTTCATTTTTGGAGATAGGCCTCACTGTGGTCTTGATCTTGATATTCTCCTGCCTAAGCCACTATGCCTGGCTATATATACATTTTGAGTTTCTTAGAATACATTTTTGGAACTAGAATTATCCACTCTTACCTCAGCTCAAGGTGGCTTCTCACTGCTTTGTGAAGAACCTATCAATGGTCTACAAAGCTCCACAACTAGGATGTTTTCCTATCTCTCTGATCTCTTGCTCTGATCCTCATTGAGCATGATGTGCTCTAGTGATAACAGAAATACAGGCAGGATTTACTACCATATTTTCTTCATGTCCTGGTCTACCTGTCACCTTATCAGAAATGCATTTCCTGACCAATCTATTTAAAAGAGCACCAGGGCTGATGACGGCTTAGTGGACCTGAATTTGATCCCTGGAATTCACATAAAGGTGGAACATAGGATTGACTCTACAAAGTTGTCCTCTAACCTCCACACATGCACAATGGCACACGCATTGCCCTCATCCAATAATAAATAAAGAATAAAGTAAAATCACATCAATTCTGACAAAGCCTGTATTTTTGCCATTCAAATTAATCAGGTATCATATAAATTAAAATCATGAGACACTACTATATCTTTACCAGAATTACTGAAAATTAAGACTTACTTTTAAATCTTAAAAAGGAGAGCTTCCTTACTTGACTAGGATGCTCACAGTAAAGCTACAGCAATCAAGACAGTGCGATACTAGCATGAAAGCTAAGAGATTGATGAACAAGACAATATGGAAGACTAGAAACAGACTTACATTTATATAATCATCTGATTTTTCAAAACAGTAAAGCAATTTAATAGAGAAACAAAAAGCATTCTAATGTGTAAAGCCAAATTGTCTAAAAAACTGTATCAGTAAAAAAAGATCAGCTTTAACTCCAAGTTCACCATGTACACAAAAATTAATTTAACATGGAACAGCAATCTAAATGAAAACACATTTTTATACAAAAACAAATGTCTTTATGACCTCAGGGTAGGTAAAAGTTTCTTAGGCAAGTAGAAAATGAACATAGAAAAAAAGAATATATATGACTTTATTATAATTAGAAACATTTGTTCATCAAAAACTACAATTGTGGGGGCTGGAGAGATGGCTCAGAGGATAAGAACACTGCTTGTTCTTGCAGAAGACCTGGGTTCGAATCCCAGCACCCACATAGCAGCTAATAACTGTCCATAACTCCAGTTCCAGGGGATCTGACAGCCTCTTCTGTCCTCTGCAGGCACTGCACAACACAGGTGCACTTACCTACATGAAGGCAATACATGCATACACATAAAATAAAAATAATAAAATATTAAAAAAAGAAAAAGAAAAAATACAATTGTATTTTTGTAGGGGCCAGAGAGATGGTTCACAGTTAGGAGAGCTTGCTGCTCTTCCAGAAGATAGGAGTTCAGTTCCCAGAAACCAGAAAAGGTGGCTCACAACTGTCTGTAACTCCAGCTCCAGGAAACCCAACATTTTCTTCTGTACTACGAGGACACCCACACCACATACTCAGCATTCATTCACACAGACACATACACATACATATAAGGAAAAATAATAAATAAATCTTTAAATCTGTTTTATTTAGAAATTCAAACACAAAGCAGAGATTTGAAGAAGATATTTAACAAAGAATTGTTATCTGGGCTATATAAAGAACTGCTACAAGTCAATAATTAACAGACAATTTGACTTTCTTCCTCTTTCTTTTGCCACCCACTTTTAAAAAAAGTTTTTGTCTTTTTCCTCTGCCTTCCCCCTTTCTGTTTTAGAGAAAGTTTATTTATTTGTGTATGAGTGTACATGCCCAGGTGTGCATGTGGGTGTGGACCTGTGCATACACACAGAAGCCAGCAGAGGGTATGAGGCATCTTCCTCTTCATTTTCTGCCTATTCCGTTAAGGCAGGGTCTCTTCCTGAACTTGGGGGCTTGTATTTTCTAGGCTAGGATAGAAGCCAGTAAGCTTTCTTTAGCCACCCTCTTGTCTTTGTCTTCCTCTAGCCCCACCAGGCTGGGGTTTCAGGCATGTGCAGGATGTATGGCTTATTATGTGGGTACTGGAATCTGAACTCTGGTCCTCGGGATTGTATGGCAAGTGTTCTTAACTGCTGAGCCATCTCTCCAGCTGCTGGTGGTAATAGAGATTGAATGAACTTATAGCCTTATTCATGCTAAGCAAGTACTCCACTACTTGAAAACACCAGATGTTAACAAGATATGGCATAATTAAATGTGGTATAAATTATTGATGGGAACATAGAGTGACACATCTATTTTAGCAAGCAATCTGGTAATTTCCTAAACTGTTAAATAGGTATCTATCATATATATAATTCTATCATTGCACTTCTGAATAATCTAACAGAAACTAAAGCATGTGTCCACATAAAGACCTGTATGCAAATTTCACACTCACTTGTGATAAATTTGGAAATAAGCTAGATGATGGATAAACTGTGGAATAATAAACTATTACTCCTCAATGAAATGGGATTAACTATTAATCATATGCTATGGTTTTTGTGTGTCCCCAGGAATTCACATATTGAAAAAACAATCTCTAAAGTCTTATGTTAATGGTATTTGGAGGTGGGACTTTTGTGAGGTAAATAGGATTAGATGAGGTCATAAGGCTAGGCAACCCAAGAAGCAATTAATTTATAAGAGGAGGAAAAATAGATTCAAATTAGCAAGACTGCTGTGTCTTGCTGTGTGATGTCCAACACTAAGGATTCTGCAGAATTCTTCCTATCAAGAAGGTCCTCATTGGATATGATCCCACAGCCTCCCGAGTGGTAACCAAATAAACCTCTTTTCTTTATAAATCACCCAAGTACCCAGGTATTTAGTTAATAGTCATAAACAGTAGACAAAAGACAACTGAGAAATCTTAAATTATGTGGTAAGAAAGAAGCCAAACAAAGCACTGGGGCTGGAGAGATGGCTCAGAGGTTAAGAGCACTGGCTGTTCTTGCAGAAGACTCAGGTTTGGGTCCCAGCACCCACTTATCAGCTAACATCTGTAAAGAACTCCGGTTCCAGGGGATCTGATGCCCTCATCTGACCTTCACAGATACTGCACAACATGGATGCATTTACACACATGCAGGCAATACATTTTATACACAAAAAATAACCAGATAAATGTATATACTGTATAAATTCACTTATATACAATTCTGGGCAGTACAAAGAAGGTTACAGTAACAGAAGGCAGACCAGCAATCGACAAAGAGGAGAGGGATTACAAATGGGCACAAGGAAACTTTTGGAATGATGAGTATGTTCACTGTCTTGACTGTAATGACAACTGTATGAACATATAAATACACACGCATATGTTAAATTAAAATATTGGATAAGGTGAGATGGCTCAGCAGTAAAGGTGCTTGTTACCAAGCCTGATGACCTGAGTTCAATTCCAAGGACCTGTATGGTAGAAGGGAGAGAAACGACTCCTGCAGGTTGTCCACTGACCTCCACATGCCTGCCACGGTTTGGGTGTGCCCAAACAAGTAATATATACCCAAAATAAATGTAAAACAAAAACCCAAAACATTGGGAACACACTTTTTATCTATTATATTTCAATTTAAAGTATCAACAAAAATAATGAAGTACTTTAATGGTTATGACATATTCTGTGTAAGTACATTGTAAGTTTACTACATATTAAAAATTGATTTTTTTTAGTGTCTGTATTTAGAAGATTAGGATAATGGGAACAGCAATAGATTAATGGTCTAATGGTGTATTTAGAAACTAAAAGATCATTTCCTGAAACTGCTTCCATATATGTGCTGTATTAAAGATGTTAGATTCAATAACATTAATATATTAGTTGACGCTGCCAGAGGTATTAGTTAATTTCTGAGTTCAAATAAGCAAAACAATTTTTATACATAGAAATGTATTTTGGGTGTCTAATTAGGTACTTTACCAATGATTTTCAATCAATATAGGTCAAATAAATAATCTTATTTATTTGATTCTCTAGAATGCAGGTACACGATTAAAGAAAAGGAAGAATTCCTAAAAATTTTCTGGGTTGTTATAAGATCTAAAATGTTTGTAAGATATAAAATTTTATAAATCATTGCAAGAAAATTACTTTAATGAGAATATATCCTATTATCGTTTTAATAAGTGGAAACATACAAAAATGACTTAAAGTAATTGACGTATTACCTGGCCACATCCAGGGGCAGTGCATAGAAAGGGTTTGTCATCACTCATATTCCACAGGTCCTTGTATTGCCTACAATAAAGTATGAAGAGACAGTGAAATGCTTCACAGATAGTACGTTTTTGAATGAAGAATAATTTCATATTTAAATCTCAGGCTCTGATTTCCACTAAGCTTGTAAACTTTTCTATTTGAATGTGAACTAACACTTCTGTGCTAATATTTTTAACCCTACTTTCCAATTTCATTGTGAGAGTAGACAAATACATGCAACATACAGAAAAACACAATAGGAAAAGGTTAGAGCACTGCTATTAGGCTCGTTCCTGCTCCACAGTGTACAAATACTTACTCGAAATGAACAAATTCCATTCATTCAAAAACCTAAATGAGCAAATACTATGCAGTTTCCAAGGATAATACTGCAGAGTTGTAGAAATAATGCAGCAAGATTTCTATCTCCACTCCTAAATGGTTGAATATCTTTATTTAGTGGCTAAAGATGTCTATCTACATATCCTTCTAAAACATTAATTTAAAAACAAGCTCCTAAGTTCCCTCTTTAAGTTAGCTCTTTTCATATGGCTAAAGTACTATGGAAGACTCTTAAGCACAAATATAGAAGTGAAATTTATTTCAGTCTCCAGAGACCTTTTCGCCCAACAAAAGAATTAAAATAGCATAGTCTGAAGGAACTGTTTTCCAGTACCTCCTTTAAAAAATATATTTTTTATTTTATGTGTTAAGAGTGTATTCGCCTGCATGTATATAAGTGTGCCCATGTTGTACAATGGCCACCGAGGTCAGAAGAGGGCATTGGATCCAGGGTAACTAGAATTATAGATGGTTGTTAGCCACTAAGTAAGTCCTGGGAACCGAACTCAGGTCCTCTGTAAAAGCAGTCAGTGCTCTTAACCACTGAGGCATCTCTCCAGCCCTCCCCCAACCTCTTTTCTTTGAGACAGGGTCTAGCTGGCCTAGAACTCACTATATAGACCAGGCTGGCCTCAATTTCACAAAGATCCTCCTGCTTTTGTCTCCCAAGTATTGGAATTAAAGGCACTTACCACCACACCTGGCCTTCAGTAACTCTTGCAAGTAGCAAAATATGCAGATACTAATTTTCTTTATATAAAATTGGTAAAGTATTTGCATATAGCCCAAGTACATCTTTTTATACTTTAAATCTTTAGATAACTTATAATACCTTAATTTAAAAGCTTTGTAAATAGTTTGTATACTATATAAGTGTCTGGTTGGCAGAATCAGGTGGTGCCAAGGGTTGCCTGTAATAACACAACAAATTCTTTATTTCTAATGATCTCTCTTTGAACCTGAAGTTTCTAACTTCTTGTTAGAGGTATAGCTGGAATCAAAACAACCTTACACCAGGCATGGTGATGTGCATCTTCACTCTCAGCTCTCAGGAGGCAGAGGCAGGTAGATCTCTGTGAGGCCAGCATGGTCCACATAGTGACTTCTAGGTGGCCTGCATTTAGGGAGACATTGTCAGAAAAAAAACAAACAACTCTTTCCTCCTGTATAGCAGGAGGCCTCCAAAGATGGCACGGACCCAGAGCCCTGGGATTCAGCGAGAATTCACTTCACTTCTTGGTCCACAAATAGCCTGCCAAAAGGAGCCCAAGCCTCCGTACCCTGCTTGCGAGCCCAGTGACTGCTGACAGACTGCATGGCACGGACCAATCAGAAAACGATATGCTGACTAAAGGGACTTGGGGGCGGAGAAAAGGGAAATATAAGGCCTGTCCCCTCCTGCATTAAACAAGCCTGCAGCACCTCGCCTAGAGCGCTTGCTTCTACCCAACTCCTGGGGTCTGTGTGTGTCATGACTCTGTGCCTCTTGCCCCTCCTAATCGGCAGGGGACCCGATCCAGGTTAGGGTCTTCACAGCTGGCCTGAAGAGAACCCGCAACACTCCTGATGGATCAAAATTTTGTTACAGGACTGTCACTTTTTAAAGACTATTCTGGTTCCTGCTAATCATTGCTTTAAGTTTTCAAAGTAAATATAACATTCACTGAGAATATAAAAGGGTTCTAGGGATCATAATTAAGTCATAAAAATTTGTGAAATGTGTGAATAAAATTTTGAGTGCTTACCCAGTGTGATGGCACATGCCTTTAATCCCAGCACTTGGGAGGTAGTGGCAGGTGGATCTCTGTGAGAGTGAGGCCAGCCAGCCTGGTCTACATAGCAAGTTCTAGGCCAGCTGGGGCTACAGAACCCTGTCTTAAAAAGAAAAAAAAAAAGAAAAAATAAAATTTGATTGCTTTATCCACTCTAATTGTCACAGTCTACGGTCAATTTCATATTGCACTGGTAGGTACAGAGATACCATTTGAGAAAACATTGGTCTACACTTCTTTCTTGGTCCAATTCATAAAAAGTTTAGAAGTATACGTGAATAATAAAAAAGCTGAACAAACTGAAAATCATCAGCTCATATTCATCAGAGTTGGGATCACTGAGCAAACAGTTACCCAGAAAAGTGAGGTCTAGGACAGATCCCAAGAGTCATCACTTACTAGGGGTGGAAGCATCTGCTGGAGCCAGTACTAGCAATAGAGTAACTGTAGCTGACCAACTAACCGCCAGAAGTTCAGTGTAGACTTAAGTAAAACCCATGGACCCCACTATTGAGATTAATAGGGGACATAATCTTGTTTTATTTATAGGTCCTCTTGATAAAGATTGGGGGGGGGAACAACAACTCATGCTTCTAGCAAGAGCAGGAAAAAAGCAACCATCTAGAAATATGCCTAAAACAAGTATTCCCAACCAAGGACAATTTTTAAAAGAAACTCTGCTCAGAGCTTAATTGACCTAGGGTCAGGGAACACCCAACTCTAGCTCTCTTACTCTTTCTGTCTTCCAAAGGTGAGTGGGCAAAGCTAAGAACTGCTGGGCATGGTGGCCCACGCCCTTAGTCCCAGCACTCACGAGGCAGAAGCAGGCAGATCTTTGTGAGATCAAGGCCAACCTGGTCTACATAGTGAGTTCCAGGTCAGGTGGGGATACAGGGAAACCCTGAAAGCCAAAAAAAAAAAGAAAGCTGAGATGTGAGAAGAGCTTGTAAGGGGCACTGGGCAATCTTAAGAGAACAGAATGCTATGGTTTCTTGCCCTTCTAAGATCAGGTGTAAGACGATTACACAATATAATTTCAACAGGGCAAAAATGTTCATCTAACATTATCTTATTTTGACAGTTGTAAAGCATAGCTGCAAATTTTTTGCACACTCCCCATCCTGAGTTTGTTTCCTTCCTTTAAATATGGGTGGGTTTATAATTACTTCAACAATAATGTGGAAATGACACAAGGATAGGCCAGAAGTCTTACAGCTTCTGCCCTGGCCATCTAGAGCTAGTACACAGGACATTCTACCTCAGAATCTTGTCATTGTGATGGGAGAAGGCATTCACATCTTCCACCTGAAGGCTTACTCATCACAAAGCAGAGACAAGTCATCCCACTGTATCCTGTCCAACTTCCCAACCTACTGAAGCTGTGAGCATTGTAAGTTACAACTAGGTTTGGAACATTTCTTCTTGATATCTGTGATTTACCTCAGTAATACATCCTTCTAGTGCTTAAAAAAATTAAAATATCTTATTTTTATTTTATTTTATGTGTGAGTGTATTCCCTGCATGTATGTAAATAGACCCATGTCATGCAAAGCCCACAGAAGTCAGAAGAGTACATCAGATCCCATGGAACTGAGTTACAGACAGGTGTTAGCTGCTATGTGGGTGCTAGGAACTGAAAGCTGGTCCTCAATAAAAGTATATAAACATAGAAATTTGAAAGTCTGAACAAAAGTATTCTGTAAGATTGGTTATGACTAACCAACCACCAATGAAATTTATATAGATACAAAATAGTATGGCCTAGCATCTTTAAAACAGGACCCTTTACATTTTTGAAAATTAAAAGACCCCCCAAAGAAGTTGTTCATACAAATTATTGATATTGACAATATTAGAAGGTAGAATTAAGAAATTCTAAAAAATAAGTTTATCAAGGGATTTGGGGATTAAACTCAGCAATAGAGTGCTTGCCTAGCATGTGTTCTCCAGCACCATAAACATAAAAAACAAAACCCGAACTCACTGTACGTTACAAAGGATTTCGTGTGTGTGTGTGTGTGTGTGTGTGTGTGTGTGTGTGTGTGTTTTACAGGAGACCGAACAAGGGCATCATGCATTCTAGGCAGGCATTCTATCATTGAGTTATATCCTTAGCTCAAAAAAAGTGTATTTTCAAAATAAAACAAAATTTAGTGAGAAAAAGAAGTTGGGTTTTTTGGGAGGGAGGGTTGTTCGTTTTACATATTTTACAAATCTTCTAATGTCTGGCTCAACAAAATAAGATGATTAGAGTCTCATATTTGCTTCTTTTTAAAGTGTGTGTGTGTGTGTGTGTGTGTGCGTGAGCATGTGTGTGTGCGTGAGCATGTGTGTGTGTGTGTGTGCTTCTTTTTAAAGTGTGTGTGTGTGTGTGTGTGCGTGAGCGTGTGTGTGTGTGTGTGTGTGTGTGTGTGTATACACACACCCAACAAGGCCAGAAGAGGGCATTAGATCTCCTGGATCTGGAATTGCAGGAGGTTGGGGTCACCTGACATGGATACTGTTAACTGAACTCAGGTCCTCTGGAAGAGCAGCAAATACTCTTAACCACTAAGCCATCTCTCAAGGCCCTTGCATTTCCTTCTCATAGTCAATCTATTACAATACTTTAGTCAGGCAGAGTCAGGGAGTAGCTCCCACTGTATGCTCTTAAAGAATTTTCAAAGTAAAAAAATGCAAATAACAGATCAGTATTATTATGAAAATGACTTTTGTTGTATGAACTTCTGAAAGGACCTGTGGGACCCATACAGGTCCTTGAACCACATTATACGAACTGATGGTAACCCTATAAAAAGAATGTATAAATCTCAGGGAGAAGCAGATGCTCCAGAATTTTTTGACACTCACTGTCAAATTAAGAAAGTTCCTTCCTCTCTCTACTTTCCAAGAAGCTTTTTGTTTTGTGTTGTTTCTTTGAGACA